CTACTCAATTATATCTTCTGCGAGCTGCGCAATTAGAAAACAAAAATTAACTCTTATTTTGTGTTTCTTGCTCATAAATTTATGAAAAAATTAGTTGGTGCATAGTGATTACTTTGCATAAATAAGGATTGCTTCAAGCACTTCCAACTAGTTTATTAATTCAGAAATAAAACTGCTTTTACACTGCAGAAGATCGGAAGAAAGTCTTAAATTTAGATTAATTAAAAGTTTATACAGTAATTGTTATTGTTAAAATATAACTTTTCGTTGTGCATTCAAGCCGAATGCAATGAAACTGAGTGGCGGCACTGCATCTACATTCGCATCATTCCATTTTTTAGTTGCTAAAAATTAATTTCGTAACCAAGGAACCTTACTGACCGCTTTTGGCAGCCATTTGCCATTTGCCATTTGCTTAATTAGGAATGACCAACCACCCACAAAAAAGCGGCGAAGTAAGAAAAAGAAAACTACAACAGAACCAAAAATAACCGCAAAACAGTGTTGGGGGAAAGGAAGATGTGAGCGAATGAAAGAAAAATTGAGACGAAAAAACGGGCTGATTATGGCAATGGATGTATAAGTGTGGCTAAGGTTAAATGTTGTAGCAACTCAGCAACCTTAAATTTTGCAATTATCGCAAAATATGTTGCCAGCAAGTGAAGAGTAAAAAAAAAACGCAGTTACTAAATGTACTCATTTGTAATGACCAAAAAAATACGAAATGTTGGCAAATAAAAAACGTGGGAATACATACTTTTTTCGTAAATAAGTTTTATTTCAACTTTTTTTGCACTACGCTGATTACACACTACATACATAGTTTTGCGCCGAACAGCAGTAAACTTTGGCGTGGCGTTTTATGCATAATTCACCGCCAAAGCCAAAGAAAAATATTTGATGTTTACTCGAATGCCGATGTTGCGCAACGTGTAATTAGCAATTCATTTTAGATCGCATGAATAATTCAAATTCAGTGTTGGAAAACGCCCAATAAAGCATGCGTACATATCCACGTTTGTGCATGCATACTTACACACTTAAGTTGTATTTATGTATTTACAGTAACGCAGACGCACTCAAATTGGTGCAAACTAAATGAAATGGTGAGAATAACAGAGCA